AATCTTAGTGTTCAATATACACTATGTAAAAAGTAAACTATGTAACTTGTGGGCAGGGATGAGAAGGGGACACTGGGGGAAAATGAAGGAGTGACATTGTCCAAGAATTATACTTATTACCTGACATGGAATTGTGATCCCTTTGTACAACTCAACAACAATAAAATTGTATTAAAAACTACACAAACATAAACTATCAGCTAGTGCATGGGGAAAGTGTTCCAAAACAGACTCTAAAGAGAGCTTTATTAAACAGAAAAGTATTTAATGATCAACTCGTGTATTTATAGTAAATTGGTATTACAAGTTATAGCTAGTATATTTTCATCAAATACTTCAAGAATAAAACATGACATAGTCTTAACAAAAACACAGACACCACAAATTGCTAAGTGCGTATTCAAACCTATGTACATAGATGTCAAACATGTATATATGCCTATATACATTAAACATGCACAGACACATGAAACTGGCATCTCCCTAATATATAACAAATTATAACCATTGATCAATATTTTACATATTTATAAACATAATCATCAATAACCATAACAACAGGAAGAACTGGTGCTTTTTATATACCATTACAATATGGCAACCCAAAAAATTTAAGTATACCAAAAGAGCTGTGAATATTGGCTAGGAGTCAGTTGTTAGCATCTATAATTGTAATACTGTGGAGGGTGAGATCTGAGGAATGCAGTTTGAAGCCAGTCTGAGCTGGAAAGGCCTTGAGACTCTTAACGAAGTAGAGGTAGGCTCAAATGGTAGATAATGGCATCCTTGAGTGGAAAAAAGCTCAGGGACAGAGCCCAGGCCCGGATGTACAAAAAAAGTAATTATTAATGTATGTCCAGAGAATCATAGTGTACATTATAATTGGCCATTGGATTTAGAAAGAGTCCCAGACTTTGTCTTTTTATTGAGGTTTTCATGCAGGTGGTTTTTGGCTTCGTGATATCTTGAGGGTGATTGTTGGGCTTTGGAATGTGTTTTGGAGGCGCTTCAACTTTTGTTGTGGAATGCAGATGTGCAGTGTGATTCTGCTTGCGTTTCGGTTTTCTGATTGGACTTTGCCTGGTCTGTGGAAGTGGAGTTAGCTCTTGAAAACGACTCATTTCTGTGTTTGAGGTTGTCCTTGGAATGGCTTCTGTGCCTTGAGCTTCTCCTCCATTCATCATTTTCAGGAGAGTGAGATTTTCTGTAAGAATGCAAGGAGTTGCTCATTCGGCTACTGTCGAAAGTTCTAGAATATCCATAACTGTCTTTGATACCTGAGGATCTGTGCATTTTGGCATTCATTTCTTTTGGTGCCTTACGAGCTCCCCAGGAAAACTGTACCTTGATTTGCTGTCCACAAATCCATTTTTTGTCCAAGTTTTGTAACGCTTCTTTAGCGTCTTCAGCGTTCTTAAACTGGACATAAGCAAACCCGCGAGGGCGTCCGGTATAGAAATCTAGTGGAACATACACGTCCGTCAAGGGGCCGAAACGACCAAATTCGCGGTTTAAATCTTCCAATTTGATACTCCTCATCACGTTCCTCACGAAGAGAGTGGTTTTCGGGGGGCTCTGGGCACCAGTCATGGTAACGGAGTTAGAAGTAGCCATGCTTCTGAGGCGATCTCCGGGACCAAGTGCACAGTCACACTTGCCGCTCCCAAGCTGCTTCCCTAAGGCCCCTGGAATCACAGCGTGAGAGGTCAAAGGTCATCAGAGTGTGTGTGTGTCAGCCCCCTCTTCTCACGAGACTGCATTGTTCTCCTCCCCCAGTATTTGCCATTGATTTTTCAAAAAAAAAAATGGCGTGGCCCAAGAAGTCAGAGGTGAGTAAGCTCCTGTTCTCTCGAGACTTCATTGACCCCTCCTCTCCCCGCTCCCCTACCAATTGGAATTTAGTTAAGAAAAAATTCACATCGCCCAATGGGTCTGGAGACTTCACTTCCTGCACGTGTGCTTGCCAGCCATTTTATAATCTTTTTTTTGGAAACCTTCACTTGGCAGAAGGAGTCAGATGATTCCGCCTCTCTTCTTACAAGATTTTATCGCCTCCCCCCCTCACTAATTTGTAGCAGTATTATGGAGCTTAATTTTCAAACAAAATATTGACAACTTTTTCAACATTGCTATGGAGTCAAGGTGTGTACCGCATTGTGCTTTCTGTGTGTTTGTCTGTGCGTAGTTTGTTTTATTGTGAAAATTACTGTACAGAGGGGTTACAATTACAAGGGCAAGATGAGAACATTTCTTACCAAGCATTGTAGCCTCCGCCTTTGTTTCCCCTTCCCATCCCTTCCCATCTTCCCCCCACCGAATCCCCCCCCCATAGTTGTAAAGTTCGTTTTGCGACATAACGACTTGTACATCTCATTGTTGCAATGGGTCCACCTGTATCCCGAGTTAAATGATTTGTTTTTTCCCTTCCCCTCCACAAATTATACCAAGATCAAATACACTGAAAACAGGGGTTATACCGGCGGGGGGAGGGGGGAGGAAGAGACATACAAAGCGACAAAGAAATCATCTTATAAATATGTTAGAAACAATAGCAAGAAAGAAAATATATTTGAATACTTATCTTGGGGTTCATTTCACCTAACATCAACTTATCTGACCTTGTCTACTTGTCTTAGACATATACTAGTTATTGCAAAAAAGGGAAACCATGGGACCTATGTTTCTTTGGGCCTGGCTGACTAGACTTAATATAATTTTTTCCAAGTGTTTCCATTTCCTAACGAATGGGGCAATGTCATTCTCTCTGATGCAGGCATAGAATTCCATTGTGTATATATACCACATTTTCTTGATCCATTAATATACTCAGGGGCATCTGCACTGGTTCCTTATAATGGCTATAATCAAGAACTCCAATAACAACAGATGCTGGAGGGGATGTGGACAGAAGGGAACCCTACTGCATTGTTGGTAGGAATGTAAACTTGTTCAACCACTTTGGAAAGTAGTATGGAAGTTCCTCAAAAGACTCCACATAGAGCTCCCCTATGACCCAGCAATCCCAGTTTTGGACATTTACTGAAATGTTCACAAACAAGACTATACTAAACCTACCAGCACAGCTATATTTATTGCAGCATTATTTACCATAGTGTGCATATTTTGTAAGAGCAGGCCAGGCAGGTCTCAAACTTGTGATCCTAACCCCATCTGGCTTCTGAGGTTTGCAGTTACAGGTACGGACTAGGCTACAGGTAATGTGTTTTAAATGTTTAATTGATTAATGGATAATTGATTAATTGATCCATGGATGATATTAGTATTGATTTATACAACCAAAAGGATACTCTAATGAAAGCTGTTATCAAAAGGGAAGTTGGAGACTGGGTAGGGAAAGAGAAAACAATAGAGAACATTATTTTAACTAAAATAATACATGCATGTCTAGCCCGGTACCCATGCTTACCCCTGTAATCCTACCTTCTCAGGAAGCTGAGATTGGAGGATCTCAGTTCAAAGCTAGCCCAGGCAGAAAAGTCCCTCAGAGAGTACATCTCCAGTTAACCACCAGAAAACTGGAAGTAGCACTGTGGCTCAAAATGTTGGAGCACTAACCTTGAACACAGGTTCAGGGATGGTGCCCAGGCCCTGAGTTCAAGTCCCAGAAATGATAAAAAAAATGCACGTATATATTTATATCTATCTATATGTGTGTGTGTACATATATATATATATATATATATATATGCAAACACGTGTGTGTGTGTGTGTGTGTGTGTGTGCGTGCCTGAAATACCATGCTGAAAATCCTTGGTGCAATTACTATACAATTGAAAATTCTGGGTGTTGGTGGCTCATACCTGTAAACTTAGTTACTCAGGAAGCTGATTGCAAAGGATCATGGTTTCAAAGCCAGCCTGGGAATGAAACTCTGTGAGACTTACCTCCACTAAAACTAACAAAAAAGCCAAGAAGTAGAGCTGTAGCTCAAGTGGTAAGGTGCTACCCTTGAGCAAAAGAAGCTCAGGGACACCTCCCAGGCTTTGTGTTCTTTGGTGCCTCAGATGACACCAGAAAAAAAAGACAAGAAAGTAAATAAAATAGGCTTTGTTGGGGCATGTGGGTACCTGGGAGAGGAAGTTTGGCTAGTAAGAGGAGTGAATGAAGATAAATTCAGTGGAATTAGTGTACATGTATGGAAATAGAATAATGAAACTTGTTGGAATTGTTTTAAGAAGTGAAGAAGAAGATAAGGAAGAATATGGGGGTGAGATTGATTGGGCTTATTTGTATAAATGTGCAAATATGACAGTGAACCATTCCTTGTATAACTAATATATGCTAAACAAAAGTGAGCTTCTTTATCTTCACACCTAATTCTTGCACAATGTGACAGTGGAGTTTTGACTTTTTTTTTAAACCTTTATTGGTTGATACTGTTTATAACCCACTTTGTCATTTATTTCCATTTTTCCTTATTTCCTTCTTTCCCCAGTTTTATATCAGTTGGGTTATATGCAGATTGACAATTGTTCTTTTCTTTTTCCAGTCTGTGGGTTTGAACTCAGGGCCTGGGGACTGTCTCTGAGCTTTGCTGAAGGCTAGCACTCTACCACTTGTGCCACTTGTGGCCTTTTCTGTTTATGTGGTACCCAGGGCTTCATGCATGCTAGGCAAGCACTCTGCCACTAAGCCACATTCCCAGCCTCTCCAAAGATTTTTTTTTTTGTTGGTCATGGGCTTGAACTCCAGGCCTGGCCACTGTCCCTCAGCTCTTCAGCTCAAGGCGAGTGCTCTACCACTTGAGACACAGCACCACTACCGGTTTTCTAGTGGTTTATTGGAGATAAGTCTTACAGACGTTCTTGCCAGGGCTGGCTTTGAACCGCGATCCTCAGATCATAGCCTCTTGAGTAGCTAAGATTACAGGTGTGAGCCACTGGCGCCCGGCTTCCAAAGATTTTATAGCATGGGCTATGTTCAGTTTATTCGAGGGTTAAACTTAGTTAATGAACCTCTTTACCTTTTTGTTTCCATAGTGAAAGCAAGTTGAATACATTGGTGCAGAAGCTTCATGACTTTCTGGCACACTCCTCAGAGGAATCAGAAGAAACAAATTCTCCTCCTCGACTTTTGACAAATCAAAATATAGGTAAATTCAAAGTTCAGCTTCATCTTTTGTCTTTTGTGCAGATGTCTTTGTCTTTTTTTTTGATGAAGCAGTTATTAAAGGCTTTCAACTTGTGGATAATGAGAATTTTAGCATGATACTAGTTGCTACTGTATATCTTTGCTGGTGTCTAGCATAAGAGATTTGAACTTTAGTAAGGAAAAATGGGAGTTCTCTCCCCCTCTTATAACTGATGTATACTAATAGATAAAATGGGAAAATCCCTTAGTTTGTATGATTGGTAGGAGCTTAGAGAAGAAAGCATTTGGTATGGTTTTATGTGTAATGGGAATGACTGACAAGGTTATGAATGCTGATTGATAAATACACAATATTATAAGAGATATTTTAACAACTTGGCTATTTGGTCTTTGATCTTTAAGGTGTGTGTGCGTGCGTGCGTGCGTGCGTGTGTGTGTGTGTGTGCGCGTGCGTGCGTGCACGTGTGCGCGCGCGCGTGCTACTGCTGGGGTTTGAACTCAGGGTTTTATGCTGCTCTTGCTTGTTTTTTTTTTTTCCCCAAGGATGCTCTACCACTTGAGTCACAATCCGCCACAAACACCTTCACTTAGACTGGGGCTTGAACTTGGCACCTGGGCACTGTCCTTGTGTTTTTTTCACTCAAGGCCAGCACTCTACCACTTGAGCTACAGCGCCACTTCCCAGTTTTCTGGTGGTTAGTTGGAGATAAGAGTTTCACGGACTTTCCTGCCTGGGCTGGCTTTGAACCATGATCCTCAGATCTCAGCCTTCTGAGTAGCTAGGATTGTAGGCGTGAGCCACTGGCGCCCGGCTTAATTTTGAAGTTTTTATGTTGATTTTTTTGTCTAGATGACCTATGGATTTGTGTCAATGGAGGTATTGAAGTCATCTATTATTATTACAATGTTGAAGTCTGTTTTAGTGTCCTACAATATTTGTTTATGAAATTGTGCATATTAATATTTGGTGTGTATATGTTTGTAATTGTTAAATCCTCCTGATAGTTTGTTCTAGTTTGTTCCCTTGTCATCATAAAGTGACTTTCTGGGCTGGGAATGGCTTAGTGATAGAGAGCTTGCCTAGCATGCATGAAGCCCTGGGTTTGATTCCTCAGTACCACATAATCAGAAAAAAAACTAGAAGTGGCACTGTGGCTCAAGTGGTAGAGTGTTAGCCTTGAGCAAAAGAAGCTCAGGGACAGTGCCCAGGCCCTGAGTTCAAGCCCCAGAACTGGCAAAAAAAAGTGACTTTCCTTGTCTCTTAACTAATTTTGATTTGATATCTGCTTTGTCACATATGAGTATAGCTAGTTCTTTCTTTGGGGTTCTACTTCTTGGAATATCTTTTTTCCATTCTTTCACTTTAAGCCTGTGTTTGTGTTTGTCAGTGAGAGTGTGTTTATTGCACACAACAAAGAGTTGATTCTTGTTTTTAGTTCAGTCTGACAGTTTGTTTCTTTTTATTGAAGTCAAGATAATATTTGGAGATATTATTGAAAGATATATACTAATTGCTGTCATTTTGTCTTCTTTGATTCTTTCCTAATCTTCATTTGTTCACTTACTCTTCTTGTTTGATTTATTCTTTCCCATATCCTCTTTGTTATGCTTATTTTCCTTTTTTGTGTATAGGATTCCTTTGAAGTATCATCTGAAGTGCTGGCATAGTGGCCATGAATTCCTTTAGTTTTCTTTTTTCTTTTTTTGCCAATCCTGGGCTTGAACTCAGGGCCTGGGCAATGTTGCTGACTATTGTTGCTTAAGGCTAGCATTTTACCATTTCAGCCACAGGTCTGGCTTTTTAGTAGTTAAGATACGAAACTGTGATCCTCAGATCTCAGCCTCCTGATAAGCCCAGATTACAGGCATGGCCCACTGGTGACTGGCTCCTTTAGTTTGTATTATGGTAGGTTTTTAGGTTTCTCCTTCAATTTTGAAGCATAGCTTTGCTGGATATATTAATCTAGGTTGGAAATTATTTTCTTTCATAGCCTTCTTCTCAAGGAGTACTGTTATTCTGATGGGCTTGCCTATATATGTGATTTTGTACATCTAAGGTCAAATTTTGGGCTGTAGATTTCAATCAGTTGTATTCTTTCAGTTGTTTCAATTGTATTCTTTCAGTTGAAGTCCCTTTAATTAGGAGCAACTGGGATAATGGCAGGGTTGAGATGCAATTTCTCCCCACTGGAATGCCAGTGTAGCTTAGAGTCCAACTTTAATCCACTTGCTTAGGCCCTGGGCCCAATCCCTTATGCCTTTCAGAGAAAAGAAAACAGTAGAAGTCTTTTCTTTTTTTTTAAGTTCCTACTTTTCAGGCTAGTTCTGTATTTGGCTGAGGGCAGGCCACTCAGAAGTCAGTTGTCAGCTTTAAGGCTTCTCACTTTAGAAGCTTCCTTTGATGTATGGGAGACTGCAGCTCACTTCACTAAGCTTGCATTCTATGGTCCAGGTATGTTCCCATTTGTTCCCAAGTGCCCCAGGAACATCAAGGGTCCAGTACTAGGTGCCCCCCCCCCATTTCCTCTGAATGATTCAGTGGAGAGAAGCCAAAATAGCACTTGTATTGTTGAAGAAGAACCTGGCAGACTGGTCTCAGCACTTTCTGACTCTGGTAGGCAGTTAGCCACTCTATGGGAGGGAGGAGGCTGAGAAATCCAGTGATCCTATGGACCTGGGCCCAGAGCTCTCAGTTCCACTTGGCAGCAAACCATATACAGCAGGAATTCAACTCCATTAGCCAGAGAGTCTGTGAGCTATGGGCTTGGAGCTCTGACTCTCAGTGGCCCTCAGGTGATAGGGCTTGTCCCTTTCAGAGGGTGGGGCCACTGAGCACACTGCTTAAACTTACCCACATGCCCTCATCAGAAACCCCTTCCTTGCTCCCTCTGCTTGACCACATCTCATGGGGATCTCACAGCCAGTCACTATGGCAGGCTCTCTGATCTACAACTGTTTCTTGTTTTCAGGTCCCCCAAGTAGCTTAGTTTCAAACAAAAGGGATACTTCCCAATATATCACCTGTCTATAGCCTTCATATATAGAGAATGACAAAATGCCTATGTTCTCTAATGCTAGCTTTTCAAGCAGGCAGGATCACTGTTAAGCTAATTTACATCTAGTTTTCGTGTGTGTGTGTGTGTGTGTGTGTGTGTGTGTGTGTGTGTGTGTGTGTGTGTGAGATAATGGGTTGGAAAGCAGGACCTTGTGCTGGCACTCTACTGCTTGAGCCATATCCTAGCCTTTATAGCTTTAGTTATTTTTCAGGTAATATCAGACAAAATTCATCTTACCTAAGGCCTCCCATGCTCAGACCCAGCCATAGGCCGCCATACCCAGCTTATTGATTGAGATGTATGGGGTCTCTAGCAATCCTCTTCATCTCTGCCTCCCAATAGCTAGGATTACCATGTCCTCACAACTCTACCAGATTTAAGGTTGAAGCCTTTATCCTGTGGCTAGGTCTGCCAGCATGTTGCCACTAGGTTTGCCTTTTTTACCCTACAGTTACAGCTTCTGCTTTCTCCTCTCCCCAGGAGCTGTGATTGGAGTGCTGTACATTGTTTCCTACTTTTCTCTGTGATGCTTCCTTTGTTTGCCCCTCTTGTTTGCCTGTCCATTTACCTCTTTCTTGATTCCCAATGCTTTTCCTTTCTATTTTTGAACATAGTTTGTCCACTGTTATCCTGACCCTTTTCACTCATAATCACATACAGTTTCTAATCTACTGTCTCGCTCTGCTCTCTGAGAATGATCAGTTATCTATTAAAGGTGTGATATAATTCAGTAAAACATCTATGTCTTTTTTTTTTTTTTGGGTCCGGTCGTGGGGCCTGGGCGCTGTCCCTCAGCTCTTCAGCTCAAGGCTAGCGCTCTACCACTTGAGCCACAGCGCCACTTCCGGCTTTTTTTTTCTTTTTGCTTATGTGGTGCTGAGGAATCGAACTCAGGGCCTCAGGCATGCAAGGCAAGCGCTCTACCACTGAGCCACCTTCCCAGCCCAACATCTATGTCTTTGCTTTTCTTTGTAAGTAGTTTATTTTTTTTAATTTGAATGGTAGGGACAGTACTAGGTTTTAAACTCAGGGGCTTTGGGCTTGATAGGCAGACACTCTGCATCTTGACCCTTGCCTCAGCCATAATTGCTCTGGTTGCTTTTTTATGTTTTTGTTGGTCATGGGGCTTGAACTCTGGGCCTGGGCACTGTCCCTGAGCCGTTCAGCTCAAAGCTAGTCCTCTACCACTTGAGCCACAGTGCTTCTTCCTGGTGGTGAATTGGAGATAAGTGTCTCATGGACTTTGTTGCTGGTTTTGAACCATGATCCTCAGATCTCAGCCTCTTTTTTTTGTCGGTCGTGGGGCCTGAACTCTGGGCCTGGGCGCTCTCCCTTAGCTCTTCAGCTCAAGGTCATTGCTCTACCACTTGAGCCACAGTGCCACTTCCGGTTTTCTGGTGGTTGGAGATAAGAGTCTCAAAACTTTCCTACCAGGGCTGGGTTTGAATAGCTTCAGTAGCTAGGATTACAGGCTTGAGCCACTGGCATCCAGCTCTGGTTACTTTTGAGACAAGGTCTGTTTGTATGTGTGTATGTTTGTGTGTTGTGGTATGTGTATGTGTATGCCAGTCCTGGGGCTGGAACTCAGGGCCTGGGTGCTGTCCATACACTAATTTCCTCAGTACTAGTGCTTTACTATTTGAGCCACAGCTCCACTTCTGGCTTTTTTGTGTTTAGTTGGAGATAAAAGTCATGGATTTTCCTACTTGGCTAGTTTTGAACTGTGATCTTTATATATTAACCTCCTGAGTAGCTAGGATTACAGGCATGAGTCACTAGCAAACCAGCTCCAAGGTCTTATTTTTTTTTCCAGGCTGGCCTGGACCACAGTCTTTGTATTTATACTTCTCACCATAGTTGGAATAACAGACATGTCCTCTGCCCAGCCTTTTTTTTGTTTTTTTGGGTCGGTCATGGAGCTTGAACTCTGGTCTTGGGCACTGTCCCTGGCTCTTCAGCTCAAGGCGAGCGCTCTACCACTTGAGCCACAGAACCACTTCCGGTTTTCTGGTGGTTTACTGGAGATAAGCGCGTCAAGGACTTTCCTGCCCAGGCTGGCTCTGAACCTTGATCCTTAGATCTCAGCCTCCTGAGTAGCTAGGATTACAGATTTGAACCACTAGCGCCTGGTTCCAGCCTTTTTTTTTTTTTTT